GAGAGGCAGGCAAAGAGAAGCCTTAAAACCCAGAAACGATTTTGATGGTGAGGGTTGCGCGAGCTCGACGGTATCGATGTTTACGAGCTCAAATAAACGGCACCGCCGTCGCCGCCACCGCCGCCATCAGCATGTGGTTATTTCATATTACTTTAGGCCTTTAATGGAGGAGAAGGAGGCATTTTAAAGCGCATAAAAATCGATGCTCTCCTCCTAGAAGGTGGTCGGTGGACCACGCATGGCTCAGCGCGTCGTGCTGCTTTCACAAAAGAAACCTCATCGCATCTCACCGCGGGATTTCAGCGTCCTGCCAGCTCGCTCGCTTCTTCATGTCCCAAGTCCTCCACGCCTCTTATATTTCGCGGTTTTTGTCAGATTTATCGTTCACGCATTTAAAGCTACATTTGAGACTGTAAACCTCCAGGCTGCCATTCTCTTTTCGTTGTACAAATGTTAGGCATAAATATTACCTTTTTACAACACCCGGGGAGAGACTTCTGTACATAATCTTATACGAGAGTTTCTTTAAATTAAATGAGTTAAATTCGCATGTTCCTCTTTTCTTCATTTTTCTTTTTTTTTTTTTTAAATAATTGGCCACTTCGGCTAAATTCATTCCCCTTCGATTGCGAAAGATAATCATCCCGTGGCGAATTAATGCCTCAATTATAAGCATTATAATTTTCCTGCATTATTTTCGAATTATGATAATTGCTCGTGATATGAATTTAGCGAAATTTTATATTTCTCGTGCAAACTTTGCAGGTAATAATGAAGAGGGCAATATTCGCACCACGCGCGTAATCAATATATCGCCGCTATTGTTTTCGGCTACGATGAGAGCGTCGTAAATTTGGCAGAATGTTAATTCTACGCGCGTCTCTGGCCGGGCAATTTTCGCAGCCCTGCCGTCGGGGATAATCACCACGTTTCTGTCGGGATGTATCCCTGGTCCCGACCATCTAATGATGAATTTCGTGTCTCGCGCGCGCGCGCGCGCGAGAGAGAGAGAGAGAGAGAGAGAGAGAGAGAGAGAGAGAGCCTCGAAGGTTGGAAAACGAAAACGAGGAAGGTGTCGGCCCGTCGACCTTAACACTTCTCAGTGAACCTCTATCCTGTCTAACATCTATCCGTTCCCATCTTGCTCGTAGTATTCCCTTTTATCGAAAGGTCCTTGCAGCGAGCATAAGTTTCTCTTGACTTGTCAGTTCGAATCGTCATTTTCTTCGGTCTAGATCGCAATTCATTTGTCGGTCGGTGCATTTTATCGATTGCTAGCCAGCTATAAAAATTTTACTATCTGTAGAAATGTCAAGGACTTGCGTAGAGAGAGATTATCCCTTTTAACAACGATATTTAGATAATATATAAACAGTAAAGTTAATAAGAATATGAACTAAAACTTATTTTAGGTTGCTTGTGATGATTTATTACTTTGTGGTTTCAATTATGTTCGAGAGAAAATCGAGATAATTAAAGTTCTATATTTTACGAGTTTAGAAAAAAAAGTATATTAATTTTAACTCCATATTTTTTCTATTTATGCTACAAGTAAAAATGCAATCTTGGAAGCTATAAAAATTGGATTATTAATGAAGATTGATTTTTTGAAGTGAGAAATCGGTTTGTTCGTGATACAAACGTAAAAAATAAACGTAGAAAATGTTTAGAAAGAGGAAAAAATATATCTTTAAACAATTCTGAGAACTATTCATTATTCTTATTCTCGTAGAACTTCTATGATACGATTGTTTTCCTCAAGAAAGAGCAAAGTACAACTGCATGGAATGCAAAATAATACTAAATGATGAGAATAAAGCAGAAAATTTTTTGTATCTAAGTAAATGATTTAATGTCGATGAGCGATAATATGCGATGAAAAAAGATACTTAGAAAGGAAGCTGTTTGCGCTTCTATTTAATAAAAGTCACTATTTGATTGGCTTTCCATTAAAGAGGAAAATTCTTTATCAAGTCATAAAGTCCTTAATTTTAAATTCTTCCTTGTTTTCTATTCCTCTGCAAAGAATCATCAAACATTTCATAGATATTTCAATAAAAAATTCAATTCAAGAAATCTGATCGATGTTTAATTTAATGTTCATCATCGATCTCGAGGATGGATAAATTTTCCGAGAAAATTTTAAATAAATAAATTTTCCAAGAATATTTTAACTAAATAAATTTTCGAAGAAAATTTTAAATAAATAAATTTTCGGAGAAAATTTTATTCAATTACAAAAAATTGTCCCATTAAATTATCCATATATCCTGCAATTTTTCACAGTCATTCTTAGATAAAAAAATCATCGAACATCTTTGACAAATATTTGCCATACCTTCTCATTATGAGAATCAAGTCATTCATCTGTGATGCGACTCGGATTTGCGAGATAGGGCGGCAGAAAACCTACGGCCGGTCCCATCGCCGATGCAGATGCACGCTCGATCCGCATTCTCGAACCCTGGCGCCATGTCACGCTACGTGCATTTGGCATCCCGTGGCTCTCTCAGGTAGCATCTGGTCGATACGGATACCCCGGTACTCGAGTACATGTCCGCTCCGCCGTTTCTTCCCCTTCGTGATCTCCGGCGACGACGACGAGCCTTCTTCTGCGGCGCATCTCCCTCGGATATCTCGCGCAAGAAGAACGTCCTTACCGCGCAATTATTTTCGCATGATTCCGATCGTCGCTCAGATTAAGACCGCTCTTTCGATACCGGATGCCGATCGCGGCGAAAGGCGGCCGCCGCTCGTTTGCGAACTGTTTGCGAGGATGCGAGTCGAGATTTAAGCTTTGAGCAAAACCAAATTCCGGGGGGATGAACGTGCGACTATGCCCCCTGTTATTTCTTTGCGAGTAAGCGACTTGCGCAAAGCTATCTAATAAAGGTATCCTTAAAGTAATCCTTCTCTTAAGGATGTATTGGAGATATATTACAATCAATGAGATCGCCGTAAATTTTTAATTTAACATTCTTAATAACATTCTAAATCGTCATGAATTATTTCAAATTTTTTTACCTGCTCCTTTAAAAGTTATTAATTTTTGAATTTTGCGATTTTAACATAGGATCTTATGTAAACGTTCAAGGGACAGATAATAAATTATTCACAAACTATAAAAAAACAATGATAAAAATTTCATTTTGTAATATTATATTCTTCATACATGTAAAAATGTTCCCACAAAGTTTTAAAACGATTTACTTGCTCGTCTTGAAATTATTATTAAAAAATAACTATGATTATCGGTTTAACAATATTGATGATAAAACGTGGCAACATTTTTTTGGAAATTAAGACCTATTTATATTAAAGAATACTTTGAAGTATGATTTCGTGACTTTTAAAAAATTTTTGATCAATTAGAATTCGTATTCTGCCCAACTTTAATACTTTGGATTAACTTTTGAGACATACGGTCCGTCCAATACATCCTTAAATGCTTGGCCGCTCGATTACTCTGTATTTTATAGTGTCTGGTCCTGCTGATTAGTAGTCATTATATCATTACTGAATTTTTGTAGCGAGAATTATGGTCTAATATTTCAAAATTTGTGTTATTTCTTTTTTTTCTTCCTCTCGTAGTATTTTATAATAAATATTATCTTAAATAAAAATTAAATATGTAAAATTAAATAAGTAGAAAAAAGCGAATTTTTTGGCTTCTGTGATTCGTCAAGAAAAAATTGTGAAAGAATATTTAAGACTGATATTCAATTCTCTTTAATAATATTCTTTTATAATATTCTCTTAATAATATTCTTTTTATAATATTTATTTCTAGTAAAGAAAATATAATAAAAATCATAAAGATTTTTCGTATAATAATACGTAATAAAATTCTATAATTACTTCTATAAAAAAAATTTATATTATAGTTATACATTAAAGATATAAATAAAAGATGCAAAATTTACGTAAGATATTTGACTTAAATTTGCGTTTCCTGTGCTTTAATTAGCTCGTATTAAGAAACTGCATAATAAAAGTGTAATATTATGTATCGATAAATATTAATTTTGTTTTTTTCAGTTGTACAAAATAGAAACTTTATGTTCTTTTAAAGGAAGAATCATATATTTTAAATCTATTTATGTAAAAACAACTCTCTTATGTGTGGAACTTATGTATAAATGATTTTCAATTAACATTAATTTTCGAAAATACACGAATCAATAGGCAATTTCGACAAGAGATATGGAAAATGGCTCCATTTACTATAACTTACGTATGAATTTTATAACACTATATCTCCGAATGTACTATCATAATTGCACAATGAAATCACGGCAATGCGTGTACAGTACATTATGGAGGTGGTTCGCCCACTAATATACGTTTCATAGATAAAACGCTATCTATAGATCGCGGGAATATACTATTTAGTGTGGGTGGTGCCTACAAACTATCGTAATCGGAAATGAATAACGCGGTTTTCTCTACCACATAAAAATCACGCATCCTCAATCTCAATATTTGGCTTCACTCTCTGGACCGTTATTCGAATTGCTCAATAATCGTGCCACGTTGAACGCCTACCTATGTATCTGGAAGAAACTGTCGTATACAACTTATTGATAAACAATTATCGTAAAGTCACACACCTCCAATGTGTTTCAATTTTAATTTTAGGAAATCAATTCATTCAACATAATAAATTGATAGTGTTTTTAAAAGCAGATATTAATGAATAATAATAATACTAGATTCACATTTTTGATTAGGCATGAACTAGTTGATGTGAACGAAAAAGAAATAATTGTATATTGCTGCCATTATTATCTATGATCATCTAAAAGATATTTATTATCTACCATTTTAAGAAATTAATCAAGAAAAAATGTATAAAAATCTAAATAATAATAATTTCTTTACACTTTGTTTATATTTGTGCTATATATAATTTATAAATATAATTTAATTTGCTGATAAAAATAAATATAATTAATTTGCTTATAAAAATAAATATAATTTGCAAATTATTATGCTTGCAGTTTGCATCGGTACCAATGGCCGTCTGTCCGTGCCGTCCAACAAACAGCATCACTACCGGAATCTTCGAGACCGGTACACCAACTGTACTTACGTCGATGGCAATCTGGAGATCACATGGCTCCAGAACAAATCATTCGACCTCAGCTTCCTCCAGTACATACGGGAGGTCACGGGTTACGTCCTCATCAGTCACGTGGACGTGCCCAAGATCGTCCTCCCGAGATTGCAAATCATCCGTGGTAGGACCCTCTTCAAGCTCAATATTCACGACCACGAGTTCGCTCTCTTCGTCACGATGTGTCAGATGCACAACCTGGAGATGCCGTCCCTTAGAGGTACGTCTTTAGTTTCTGATTCTCTCGTTCAAGCTAGTAAAGAGACAAACACGTCGCAGATATTTTTTTAATTATTTAAATAATTATTTAAATAAAGTAATATAAATTATTGATATTATTAACATTAATTATTAATATTATTATTTTAAATAATTATTTACAATAAATTACTTAAATAATTATTTCAATAAATTACTTAAATAATTATTTCGAAAATTAAACATTTGTAAAGATTGACAAATCATCTTTCGATATCGAAAGGCTCCGGATGAATAATATTTAAAGAAGAGATTTATGACGAGCTATGGTGTCTAACTCGCGATTGATTTCGCCATAGATATACTCAACGGGAGCGTGGGCATGTACAACAACTATAACCTCTGCCATATCAAGACGATCAATTGGGAGGAAATAATTACCGGTCCGGGAGGCCGGTACTTTTACGTGTACAATTTTACGTCGCCGGAACGCAATTGTCCGGAATGCGACGAGAGCTGCGAACAGGGTTGCTGGGGCGAGGGTCCGGAGAACTGTCAAAAGTACTCGAAGACGAACTGCTCGCCTCAGTGCTGGCAGGGCAGGTGTTTCGGTCCTAATCCACGCGAGTGTTGCCATCTTTTTTGCGCCGGTGGCTGCACCGGTCCCAAACAGAGCGACTGTCTTGCCTGTAAGAATTTCTTCGACGATGGCGTGTGCACCCAGGAATGCCCGCCCATGCAAAAGTAAGTAACATCACGATTCTTCTGTCTTTTTGCTACGAAACTGATGCAAAACTGATTGCGAAAGATGCTTTACACACAATAGAAAATTAAAATAACACTCTTCTAAGTAATAATTAACACGCAACAAGAGCCAAATGATTTACTCATGCAAATTATACGGTGTAAAATTAGTAAGAAAGTAAATCAGTATCTAAATATTAATTATGATATTAATTATAATATTAATTAATAATATTAGTTAATAATATTATAATATTAATATTAATTATAATATTAAACCTTTCAGATATAATCCAACGACGTATTCGTGGGAAGCTAATCCTGATGGAAAATACGCGTACGGGGCAACCTGCGTAAGACGATGTCCGGAACATCTCTTGAAGGACAACGGCGCGTGTGTGAGATCCTGTCCACCTAAGAAGAAGGCGATGAACGGCGAGTGTGTCCCCTGTGACGGTCCCTGTCCAAAAACCTGCAAGGGCGTCGAGAAAGTGCATTCTGGTAATATTGAGACTTTCAAGGATTGCACCATCATCGAAGGATCCATCACGATCCTGGATCAGAGCTTCGAGGGCTTCCAACACGTTTACGCAAATTACACGTTCGGCAGACGATACGAAAAGATGCATCCCGACAGATTGGAAGTCTTCAGAACCTTAAAAGAGATTACGGGGTATCTCAATATCCAGGGAGATCATAAGGATTTCAGGAACCTTTCGTACTTTCGCAATCTCGAGGTGATCGGAGGCAGGACGCTCACGGAATATTTTGCATCCTTGTACGTCGTCAAGACTTCTCTGGTGTCGTTCGGACTTAGTTCCTTGAAGAAGATTTATTCCGGCTCGATTGCCATTTTGGAGAACAAGAATTTATGTTACGCGCAGAGTATCAATTGGACCAGGATCAAGAAGTCATCCGAACACGAAAGTCTTTTATCGAACAATCGAAACGAGAGCGAATGCAGTAAGTACGCTAAAAAGATTTAGACACAAGTGTAAAAGAGAAAATCCCCTAAATATTGAGTATTAATATTTAACATTCGTTGTAATAAAAGTTTACTGCAGGTGTTTTTCATTTTTTCTTTTTTAAACTAGGATTAAAAATAAAATTAATATATAAAAATTAATATATAAAAATAAAATTAATATTTATATAATTATTATTGCATTAACATTTAAACATATATTTATTTTATATAAAAATATAGAGTATTGATTTTAAATTGCAGTTAAGGATGGCCTCGTGTGCGACGAGCAATGCTCGAACGAAGGATGCTGGGGACCTGGACAAGCGCAATGTCTGTCGTGCAAAAACTTAATCCTAGGAAATGATTGTCTTCAAGATTGCACTGCGCCAGGGTAAGCATCGAAATATAATTATACAGTGTAATTATAATTTTAAATTAAAATTTCCAATAACACGTACGATTTCTCTCCAATCAAAATTGCTTTCCTAGTTCATGGATTAAAGGTAAATCGAAGTCTTTTAGCGAAAATTTGAGTTATAATTCTCACTTTTTTATTTTTATTCACATTTTGTAAGCAAATTGTATATGTATCGCGCAGCACGTCTCATCTTAATCGCTTTAATTAATCGCACGTGTATTAAATCTTGAACAGAATGTGTGTGGCAAACATATACACAACAACATGTGAGCGTTAATTACATTCAAACAATTTTTTAGTCATCTCTCTTTATCTTATTTTTTATTTTTATTAAGTTTTCTACGCCTTATCTTTTTATTTTCGTTGCAAATTTATTTCTTTTAATTTTATACCTTATTTTTTCGATATCGTTTAACGGTTAATTATGATTATGTTGTCAGGATTTATCAAGCGGACGAAAAGACTTGTAAGATGTGTCACGAGGAGTGCGACGACTCCTGCACTGGTCCTAATGCCGACCAATGCATCAAGTGTAAACATGTGCGAGATGGACCGTTCTGTGTGCCCAAGTGTCCATCCTCAAAATACAACGACAATGGCCAGTGTAAACACTGTCACGAGAACTGCGTAGGCGGCTGCGAGGGACCGGAGAACAACATAGGCGCCAACGGATGTCATAGTTGCGAAAAGGCAATTATGAATGGGCACGTACCAGAGGGATGTTTGCAAAAGAAAGAGTCATGTCCTGATGGTAAGTCATACGACTTTTCATGATACCTTCAACATATCAATCCTTCAATTAATAGCCGCTAATTGATATTGTGAAAAAATTATCTCACGTTATTATTATTATTATTATTATTATCAATTTTATTAATTATTATTATTATTATTATTATTAATTATTATTATTAATATTATTTATTAATTATTAATATTTATTATTAAATATAATTAAATATTAATTAATTAATTATTATTATTAATATTATTAATTTATTATTATTATTAATTTTACAAATATAAATAGATGATAATTGATATTATGTTAATAAAATATTGAAAGCTAGTGACAGTAATAATAAATGAATTCTTACATTTCATGATAATGGGATAAAATCTATGCAAACGAATAAACAAGGTATGTTTTGTATCAAACTCGCAGGACATTATTACGAGTGGGTGAGTCCGCAGGAGCAAGGTGCTTTAAAACCTCTCGCCGGAAAGGCAGTCTGTCGCAAGTGCCACCCACGTTGCAGTAAGTGCACAGGATACGGCTTCCACGAGCAGGTCTGTCAACAGTGCACCAAGTACAAGAAGGGAGAGCAATGCGAGGACGAATGTCCTACCGATCATTTCGCGGATGCTGACACGCAGCTATGTATACCGTGCTTCGGGGAGTGTCGAGGGTGCACTGGACCAGGCCCTGATCAGTGCCAGAAATGTCGAAACTACAAAATTTACATGGTATGCAATGCAATATTAAGAATATAATTTTACAAATTTTAAGAATATTAAGAATATTATTATTTAAAATTATAAATTTATGAAAAAAATAAAATATAATAATATAAGAAATAAGCTAATAATAAGTAACAAGTATATCGGTGTTAAAGCCTATCAGTATACGATATATATTTTGTTTGAGGTTGAAGAGGAATTTTGACAATTTTAATGCTAATCACTTTGTATAATTCAATATTTTAGGATGGCAATCCCAGCGATAATTCGACATCCTTCAATTGCACGGAGGTTTGTCCATCGGAATATCCCCACAAGGTTTTCCCCCCAAAGAGCGATCCGTACTGCTCCGACGTGCCGATAGGCCTAAGCTTCCAATTAGATAATGAACTTCAGCCAACTATTCTGGCCGGAATTGTGGTCTTTACGGTGGTGATATTCGTCTGCTTTATTACGATAATTTACTACTGGCGGAGGACGAAGACCAAGGAAAATACGGTGAAGATGACGATGGCTTTGACGGGTTTGGACGACAACGAGCCGCTTCGACCGACAGGCGTGAAACCGAATTTGGCCAAGTTACGGATAATCAAGGAAGAGGAGATGAGGAAAGGCGGTATACTGGGTTACGGTGCTTTCGGCAATGTATATAAAGGTGTTTGGGTGCCCGAAGGAGAGAACGTGAAGATTCCAGTCGCTATAAAGGTTCTCCACGATGGTACAGGTGCGAACACGTCCAAAGAATTTCTCGACGAGGCTTACATCATGGCCAGCGTCGAGCATCCGAATCTGCTGCAGCTGCTTGCGGTATGCATGACGTCGCAGATGATGTTGGTGACTCAGTTGATGCCCCTGGGATGTTTGTTGGACTTTGTACGCAGGTACAAAGACAAAATCGGCTCGAAGCCACTGCTAAATTGGTGCACGCAGATCGCAAGAGGTATGGCTTACCTGGAGGAGAGGAGATTGGTTCATCGAGACTTAGCGGCGCGAAATGTCCTCGTACAGACTCCGAATTGCGTGAAGATCACCGACTTCGGTCTCGCCAAACTGTTGGATATCAACGAAGAGCAATACAAGGCCGCGGGTGGGAAGATGCCGATCAAGTGGTTGGCACTAGAATGCATTCAGCATCGAGTGTTCACTCATAAATCGGACGTGTGGGCTTTTGGAGTGACTATTTGGGAAGTTCTCACTTATGGCGGTAGACCGTACGAAAATGTCCCCGCTCGAAACGTGCCCGAATTATTGGAAAAGGGCGAAAGGCTGCCGCAGCCCGCGATTTGCACGATCGACGTGTACATGATTATGATAAAATGTTGGATGCTCGACGCCGAATCTAGACCCAGCTTCAAGGAATTAGCCGAAGACTTTGCAAAAATGTCTAGAGATCCCGGCCGATATCTTGCCATTAAAGGAGATAAATACATGAGATTGCCTCCTTATACATTACAGGTAATTGATATTACTTTATTTGCTAAAGACTTAAATAAAGGACAATTATCCATTATCGCAGAGCGATATTATCAATATCAGTTAAGAAAAAAATTGCTGATAAATTATAATCGAATTAATTGTATAATAATTATATTATAATCTTATCAGTAACACTTTAAATTTGTTATATCATTATCTATAGATTGGATCAAATAAAAAATGTATATTTTATACGTTAAAATATTAAAATAAAACAAAATTAAAATAAAATTAATACGGTAATAATATTAATTTCTAAGAATTATAAATGATAAAAATTATTAGAAGAAAACATATTATTAGAATGTAATGATCAAATTTAATTTTATAATAATTTTCCTATAGTAATTAAATATAATAGCAAGAGACAAAATTAAGAAAAAATTTTACAAAATACATAGTTTCGTGTTATCTTGAGCGGATAATGTAAATTTTCAGGATGAAAAAGAGATGATACGAAATCTCGCATCAGCAATGGATGGTCCAGAAGCTCTGGTGGATGCCGAAGAGTATCTGCAGCCCAAGTCGCGGGCTCCCCTTCCGCCTGTGATCTCCGCATCGAGTACTTCCGGCTCGCCGCCGCTCACATCGGTCAAATCATGTTGGCCAAACGGCAAGCCCCTCGCCGCTGATTCGCCGACGCCGCAAAATCAGCAAAACTGGGACAGGGAGCTTTTGAGGTACGGCGGAAATCACGGGAACGGAAATGCGTCGCATGAGGCCGGTAATTCCAGTCAGTACACGCATTACGCACATCCCAATGGCGGACACGTCGTGGGATCCGACAGCTCGAGTTCGAGATACTGTTCAGATCCTTTGAAGATGGTTGGTGTTAAAGGTAAGCAGAATAAAGTGTTTTCTTAAAAAAAAAAAAATGAATAGAATTTTGTTGTATAAAAATTATAATATTGTCTGATAATTGTTGGATCACATTGTACATGTTAATCAACGTTGAATTTATTTAATGATCAGAAATAAATGGATTAATTTCAGATTGCGACGTGACGGACGATTGTTTCGAGATTAAAGTGCAGTCCGCGCATCAACAGGCTCAAGTGGGAAATCTGAAGCTAGATTTACCGTTAGATGAAGATGATTATCTTATGCCGTCGCCGCAACTGCCAGCCAACAAAACACAGTACATAGATCTCATCGGAGAGTCTAAATCGCCAGGTGAATAGAAGCGAAATTTGCTATTATTTTTACATAAATTCAATCTATTTCTGTAATATTATATATATATATATATATATATATATATATATTTATATATATTCTTGAGAATGAGATATATAAATTTTACTTTAAAAAATTTTTTCATTTCATTTATTTCTATTTCTCTTGCAATTTTGTATATAATTATTAATTTATTTATTGTTTGTATACTTTATAATTACAATTCATTAGTTACAATCCATTATTTTACAGAGTATTAGGGCAATCTCTTCCCAAAAAAAGCTCTTGTAGCTTACCTCGAGAGCTTTTCAAAACACTATAATAAAGTTTATACGAGAGCTTTTCAAAACACTATAATAAAGTCTTTTTTTATCGAGTACTTTTCGAGTTATGAGTCTTGAAATAATCTCTTAATTTTACATAAACCATAAAATATCTAATAAATAAAATATTCATTTTTCGATTATCTTAATACTTTTATTACCTTATTTTAATACTTTTATTACCTTAATACTTTTATGTACAAAATAATGAGAGGAATCAATTGGTGTAAAGAAAACACATAATTGTTTCGAAGAAAAAATATGTAATTTGCAATTAACGTAAGCTACAAGAGCTCTTTTTTGGGAAGAGATTGTCCTGACACTTCGTATATATGACGCTATTCTTTCATTATATTAATTTATTTCTTCACAAAATGAATGAAAATAAAAATTACTTTTATTTTATCTCCAGAATCCGAACTGAAACTTAAGTTAAACAACATCCGGAAGTGTCCAGATTTCCTGATAATTCAAGGGAAAACATCGCTGGACAATCCGGAGTATCTAATGTCGCAAGACGAGGGCCCACTCACGCCGCAGATTCTGGGTATCCCTACATTGAACTTGGAGAAAGTCCTAACGAACGGCGCCTTTGGATCTCAAGTTAGGCAGAGGAGTTCTGAGGAGGAGTCGGATCACGAGTACTACAACGATTTTGACCGGCTGGAACGAGAATTACAACCGTTGAAGCCGTTTAGGAAAAACGAGACCACGGTGTGATTTTAGTGGTACTATCGAGAACACGAGAGAAGCTCATAACTCTATGGGACTAGAGGTTATTATATCGAAAACGCCTTTACTTCGGGAACAAGGTAAATCAAACGGCCTCGTGGAAAAGTAGCGAAAACGAAACTCATCATTGAAGTTACTAAATTCCCAAAAAGGATACATTGTACTTAGAGAGGACACTTCGCTCAAGTGCCGCGCTTGATTGTGATTAGATGTAAGCTAGAGACCTTTGTACGTATATTTTACGAGATATATAAATAGGACGAGGAAAAGAAGAGACTATACGAGGACGCACCGGAAATGAGGATCGCGCGATGGCGATGCTCGCGAACAAGTAGTGCAAAGATATTCTTAACGTGCCATTTGCCGTGGCTTGTAAATAAATAACTTTCCGTACTAGTTTCTCGAGGATGTAAGGTATATCCTAGGACTTAATTTCGCAGCGACAGCGTCCAAGTTCGTCTCTGCTTAATAGCTTCCTTTCCGACTGGTTTAAGGCCCAACACGTTGAAGCCTTTATTGAAAAAAAATATATATAATTTCTATACATGTTCGATAATTAAAATTAGATAATTAAAATTATAATTTCTATATATGTTTGTTAATTAAAATGTAGAAAATGGCATAAGAGAATGGCTTTTACGATTTTCATAGCCTTAAACCGGTCTTGTTTTCCTCACTACTATCTTACAGAGATATCTAGATCGTGAAAACCAATGTTCACGATAATGATATCAATCTTTTTTAACGAATGAAAATAGAGAACAGTACATTTTCGGCACGATTGAATTTTATAATTGAAAGATTGTGGCGCGACAAGTGCGAATGTCGAGGAAATAAAGGCTGTCCACAGCGTCCACAGCGAGCTTTTAAGAGATTCGTGGTCGTTGTTAAATTTTTAATGGTGCAAAAATTACTTTAAGAATTTTCTTTATATCGAGCGAGGTATCCCAAAAGATCGCTCAATGCATTTTTTCCTTTAGAAATTGTTACCACTTTTTAATTTTATTCATTTATATAAAGATAAATTCGTTAATAACATCTTATTTCGTTAAATAACACATTTCTTATATTTCTTTTCATATAAGAAAGATAAAAATTGGTATATATATATATACTATTTATTAGTATATATATTAATTAGTATATATTAGTATATATTAGTATATATTAGTATATATTAGTATATATTAGTATACTATTAACTAAAAATATTTTTATAATATTGAGAAAAAAAATGTAAATTAATTCTAAATTTTTATGACAAAATAATTCATATAGCATATAATTGAAATGGCAATAATAATTAAACTAAAATATTTTATCGATATTTTATTCTAATATTTTATTCGATGAGTTCTCGTTGGAAGGATTAATCAACATTTTTAAAAGTGTTTCGGCACAGCATTTATAAAACTTTCGCTCAAAATGACGAAGGTTAAGCGGCTTCGCAACAAACGCCAGCTTGCAATAGTGTCTTTAATTAATTAAATCGATTTATATACGATTTCTTATTTTAATATACTTCATTGTATGAAGAAATATAATAAGAAAAAATCTTGAAAGAAAAAATTTAATTATCCATCGCTCAAATTGTCAGATATTAATGCAACCGGGCCGAAGCATTTGTGCGACATGCCGCTAATTGTGATACGAATATTTTATTTTTGCCAGAGACAAAATATTTCAAATACGACAATTGTAGCACTTTTCTTCCTTCCTTTCACAAGCAGTAAGCTACGACAGCGAAGCCTGCATTGTCCCATTTTACTGCCGAGGATAAATTCGCTCTCGATTCATATCTATCACAACGAGAGCAAACATGATTTTACTTAATTACGGAGGAGCAAAGAGACTCAAGCAGCGTTTTTCCCTTCTCTTATGCCATCGTCTTTGTTTATGCGGTCAATAAAATTGCTCCCCGGCCGGGAATTATTTCGATTTTTATATATGAAACGCGATTTGTATATAGTTTAGCGAGTAACGAAGCGAACTGAAGTCTCCACGAACGAACTAAAAAAAGGAGAGTTATTTTTACGCAATAAGTAATACATCGCCAGAAAATACGGTACGTAGCCGTATCGAATAATAGTACGATAGGACGTGCCATGTTGTACAGGAAAAAAAAAAAGAGAAAAGTACATGAGAGAACAAATTTTATGAGCGCGAAACGAATCTTCGCTATATCTATTTAATAAATTTCGCAGGAACTCTGTCCTATATCGAGTATTTGCTAGAGATGAGCATGGGCGTGCACGCGAGATTGACGCTTTTTTCCAATGTGTATATATATATAATGTCAATATTTTAAAATTGATAAAATTATCGTAAAATGATTTGAAAAGCAAGTAATGACGATATCGGATCATCGGATCACATATGTAATTTTTATTTTTATATTTTCTTTAATCGCACTACATTTTTTAACAGCTCCAACTTTCGAATATATTTTCATATTCTTTTCATTATAAAACAATCAAAGTTATTATGAAATGTATACTCGGCAACCAAAATGCCTTAACACCTGAATTTGCCCGTGTTAAGGCATATTCGGACGACGTACTTCCACCCTATTATAATTGCGCATCATGACTATTTAATATCTGGCAACGATGTTTCAAAGCGATTTTACGCAAAATTCAAACTAATGTGTGACATATCTGAAAAAGTGGTTATATGTCAAATATGTCAAAATGTATATGATTAGAAAATAAGTAATGCACATTAATTATATAAAATATTAAAATAAAATACATTAAATATATAAAAAATATAGCGTGATATGAATTACACATATTAATGCCAGTTTTTTATTGTGTGTCGCAGATTTGAGGATGAGCGACTGCTGTTCAAATATAAAAACTTAATATATGTAATTCATATCACACTTTATATTTTTTATATATTTAATATATTTTATTTTAATATTTTATATAATTAATGTGCATTACTTATTTTCTAATCATATACATTTTGACATATTTGACATATGTCAAACCACTTTTTCAGATATGTCACACATTAGTTTGAATTTTGCGTAAAATCACTTTGAAACATCGTTGCTAGATACTAAATAGTCATGACGCGCAATTATAATAGAGTGGAAGTACGTCGTCCGAATATGCCTTGACACGGGCAAATTCAGGTGTTAATGCATTTTGGTTGCCGAGTGTACAATCAAAATTATTATGAAGTGTTATTATGAATTGTTCATCCACCTTCAAATTTATTAATGTTGCATAATATTGATATTATTTTATGATGTCAATATCTTTTATATAATATTATACATAATATTATTATATGTTATTGTATATATTATAATATAATTACAATATATACTATAATTATACAGGGTATCCCACCTAGAAATGGCCACCCCTTTTTATTTTTTAAACTAAAAGAGATAGACCATAACAAATATATGTATATGAAATTAAAAAATCTCTTATTTGAAATTAAAAAATCTCTTATTTGAAATTAGAAAATCTCGTATAATATGTAAAATATTTACATTAAATCATACATCATTATATTCGTTTCAAACAGCGCTATAACTTTTATTCTATCAAAATATCTACATTATTATTAAAAAATTATACATATCTCTCCGTTCTTTAATACAGATAAATTTTGTAATCAACCACTATACTCACAATAAAGTTCAATTAAAGCCATTTAATTTCATATATATTTGTTATGGTCTATCTTTTTTAGTTTAAAAGGGGGTGGCCACTTCTAGGTAGGACATCCTGTATATATATTATGTATAGTATAGTATTAAAACGATTAATGTGGTTTTTAAATGAAAGAAAGACAAAGAAAAAATAAATATGTAAATTTTATGCATATTTAATTTTTTTTTTATTTTATATTTTCTTTTTAATATACGGAATGAGACATTGACAATTTTCTTCTCTGACAAGCAAAAAGTATTTGCACATCTCTCTTGATAACCTTATCGCAATCATGTTCTGATTTGATAATCGAAATAAAATTGAAAGTAATTACGAAAACTCGAACGAACTCGATTTTTATCGCGAGAAATTAATTAAAAATACATTTCCAATCTCGCCACACACTCTGCAGTTATGCATCTTATCTGTATAACGATGTAAGCCAATACGTATCGTGTACATTGTGTTAAGTATTACTAATTATTATTATTATAACAGATTCTTTTTGTAATATATCATTTACTGCGACGCGTTATTCGCCGCACGAGAAAAAGATACGTGATTTCTGTAAAGCAAATCCAAGAGAAACGTCTTTTTTTTTTCTTTCCCTCGCACATTTGGTCTTGTAAATGTAAATCGGACTGCGCATATTAATTTTAATTAGGAATTGTACATTGTAATCTAACGTTACGTAACTGCGAGGAATTGTATTTGCCATTCGGTTGTGGAAATAGAACCTATAGATCTTTATTGTATCATTATATATCGTAAAAATTTATTGTAATAAAAAACAATCATTCTTATCACTTGTTATATTTTTCTTAAACCTAAATAATTGTGTAAAACTTACTAAAATATTTTTCAACAATATATTTTTACAGATGCACATTATACTACATGATATTTCAATGCATGTTTGCATAAAAAAATTTATGTATAAAGAAGGAAAATTATATCTATTGAATAGTTTCCTTATTTAATAGATTCTCAGAATCTCATTTACATCTGCCTGTGTTATTTTTACAAAATATGATGCACATGTATCAAATAATTATTTTATTTAATATCGATTAGAAAATTAGTTTCTTGCTTTATCAAATGTTATATTAATCTATTCATCACTTATTTGTTTTTTCTCACATTTCCGCATAAAACAAATGTCAAATATATAAAAAGATATTTAAAGAAAAATAAAAGTTTAAAGAAATAAAAAATGATAAAACTTAATTATTTACAAATAAATGAAAGTAACCAAAGTAATCAGAATGAAAATTTATAATTATACATAAGTTAAACATTTATAATTATACATAAATAATTTGTTTTAAAATTTTAAATGTGTTTTCCTTAAAATGAGATTTTTCAATCGCGTTGATAATAAATAAAAAAAAATTATGCATCCAATTAATAAGTTGCATTTTGTACAAAAATCATGATTAAATCATGAGGAATATTGGTGAAAAGATTAATTACATCAAGTGAAATGACATCAATATGATCATCCAAGTAAAAATTCTTAAGTTTATTCACCAATTCATAGCTATTCGAAATATAGCTATTCGGGTTTGGTAAATTGTTGTACAAAATTCTGTAAAGATATGTCGCAAAGGGCAGTGCAAAAGGCTATTAATAGAAGAAATAATAATTCGTAAAGAAAAATTATTTTTGTGCAGATTTTTGGCAGACCATAGGCACGGAGCAAAATACCATTGCTATGTAAAAGACATTTCGCAGTGTGGTAGAAATAAATTCATTTTTCCGCCATCTGTTTAACAATTCCCCCAGATTACTAATGATTTTATTAGTTGGATCTTTACAATAGCATATGTATTAGTGTCACTTAGTAATTCGTTCATCTCTCCAAAGTAATTATCGCTCTAACGCTAGTCGTGCTTCCCTTTTGTGATAATTAAATCTGAGTGGTCCAATAGAAATTTCTTACCTATCATTAATAAATGTCTCCCTCTGTTCAAAAATCCCCTCCTCTGCCGTCTTCTTCCTAATTTCATGTCTTCTTTCCTTCCTTTTCCTCCCCACCCTTTCTTTTTTCCCACCCCTTCTTTTTGATTTCCTTCCCTAATCCTTTCCTTTATTTTTTTCTTTTTTCACTGTATGTGTACAGTCTAGTCTCGGTCTCCTTGGTTTCCACATCTTTTCATTATGCTTGACTTGGCTTTTTCTACCTAATTTTTGCTCACTGACTAATATGTACTTCTATTACGTTTGGTAATTTTAATTAATTTTTAACTGGCATATAAATTTTTGTGACATTTTTGTGCATAAAGTACTGTTCCGATTGTGCTTGCTCTTTATTCTCGTTCTTTCTTTTTTACAGGCTACCATCTTGCTATCAAATTTATTTCTTTTGACGTGCTTTGACAGATTGAATATTAGAGAGACCTATTTTTATAACTTTCAATTTTACTATGACTTTTCTATGGACATCTTTAATTTTTTTATTTTTATCTTTTGACGGATTCATCGAGGGAATCAAAAACCCAGACGCCTTCTCTCTCTGATTTTATTTACAGCACATTAAGACTTGATATCGAGGTGAGTTGCGCTCTCTTGCAGCATTTTATAACCTTTTATTATGTTTTGCTTGATATTTTATTCAATTTTGCGTTTTCCACCAAGCATAATTCCGACCGTTTCATGCGTTTAAATATTTTGCAACTGTTGTTAAAGTCCTCATGACCTTCTGTTTTAAGCTTAGCGTTTACCTTTATAATTTTGTATGACATTAAAAAAGATCTGTAGAAGATCGAAACGTGCGTTTGTCTTTTAAATGTATTTAAATAATTTTTTTGCTCTGACAGACTTTTCCTTATTAAATTACTTTTTAACATTAGTGGCTCTGTCTTAGCATTATTAATTCTTAATTATCCTTTCGTACCACCACTCTACTCATGATCAAGCCTTTTCTTATTTAAATTTGTATTATTACTATACAGACCGTTAACCCTTCTCGTTTTTTAGTTTTTAAAAGAACTTAATTTTATTGTCAAATTTAAACATTTTTTTCAGCAATCTTTTATTTTGTTATTTTTTGGGATATTAATTTTTTTACACATTGTAATAGATATAGTTCTAGTTTTAAAAAATTGTTACAACGGAAGAAGATAAATGTATTTGGCTAAAAATATTTTCTATACCTTTGTCTACCTTTGAATATTTTTATTTTTGTACATTTTCACTAGAATAATCAATTTGACTTAATTGTTTATTTGAAAAAAAATCCAGAAAATACCTATATTTTTGAAGCCTTTATACCAGTATTTCTCCTTAAGAGATAAATATGTATAATGAAAAAAGAAAAGATATTTTTAGACATCGACCGATATCTCGATTTTTTATAGTGCGCATTAAGATTTAATATCGAGGTGAGTTGCGCTCTCTTGCAGCATTTTATAGCCTTTTATTATGTTCTGCTTGACATTTTATTCAATTTTGCGTTTTCCACCAAGCGTAATTCCGACCGTTATTTCATGCGTTTAAATATTTTGCAACTGTTGTTAAAGTCCTCATGATCTTCTTTGTTTTAAGCTTAGCATTTACCTTTATAATTTTGTATGACATTGAAAAGGATCTGTAGAAGATCGAAATGTGTGTTTGTCTTTTAAATGTATTTAAATAATTTTTTGCTCTGACAGACTTTTCCTTATTAAATTACTTTTTAACATTAGTGGCTCTGTCTTAGCATTATTAATTCTTAATTGTCCTTTCGTACCACCACTCTACGTCATGATCAAGCCTTTTCTTATTTAAATTTGTATTATTACTATACAGATCGTTAACCCTTTTCGTTTTTTAGTTTTTAAAAGAACTTAATTTTATTGTCAAATTTAAACATTTTTTTCAGCAATCTTTTATTTTGTTATTTTTTAGAATATTAATTTTTTTTTACACATTGTAATAGATGTAGTTCTAGTTTTAAAAAATTGTTACAACGGAAGAAGATAAATGTATTTGGCTAAAAATATTTTTTATAATTTCTAATATTTTCTAATATTTTAATATCTAATATTTTCTAATATTTCTATTTCCTTTGTCTACCTTTGAAAATTTTTATTTTTGTACATTTTCACTAGAATAATCAATTTGACTTAATTGTTTATTTGAAAAAAAATCCAGAAAATATCTATATTTTTGAGGCCTTTATACCAGTATTCGTCCTTAAGAGATAAATATATATAATATGTAATATTATACATATTTATCTCATATTATTTTCATTATTTATTATCATATTATACATATTTAGATAAATATGTATAATATGTAATATTATACATATTTATCTCTTAAGGAAAAAAAAAGATATTTTTAGACGTTGACCGATATCTCGATTTTTTATAGTGTCATCTGCATTATCATTGTCATAATTAGCAATGATAATAATTAATAATGATAACACTAATAAAAAAGGTAAAAAAAAGAAATTACCATGTTTATCTATATTATATAATATCTATATAATATTTTACAAGAATTAGTATCTCATAAAAATCATTAAAAGAGCTTATTCAGATATATATATTGCGATAAATATATTTCATATCGTAATCATATCGTAATCATATCATTTCTCACATGTGAGGAAATTGCATTCAGTGCTTTTTATAGTGTAATGCACGGAATTACACGAAACTGTACGAAGTGACACGAACGATAACATATCTTTATCTATAACACGAAAGAGAGAAAGAGACGAACGCTTCTGCAGCTCAGGATTTCATTTCACACATTCAGCTAGTCGTTCGTGAGTAATCGTACGACGTGGATCTTCGTCTGAGATTTTTAGTGCGAATTTCCGCATTTATCAAGCGTTCCCGTAGATGTGGATGAAATATATTGCACAGCATTTTGTTCAGTTGAGAACACGAATTCAGAATAAATTCTGCAATTTACGTAAGAAAGTTTAATGTACAGCGTATTCCAAAAAGTTCAACACAGAAGCATACAGAAGCATACAGAAGTCATTCAATAATTTGAAAAGAGTACATCACGATAAGATTACATAAAGATATAAAATATTTACACAACATTTATTCTTAGTCTGCTTCTATCGATTTAAGCTATCGATTTAAGATAATCTACTAGACTGAAAAGTTACTTATTGATAAATAGAAGAATTATTACGAATTATCAAAGGATTATTGAAAAAATTATATTCGACCAAACTAGCCAGAAATTTCCTTTATTTAGTACGACGTTTCGACCATATGGTTGTGGTCCTTATCAAGTATATACGATGAAATATGATAATCAAGACGCAAACATAGCACTTGTAAAAACCATCAAGAGTCAAAAATATAAAACGTTATCTAATTCAAAAAACGAGAGAGACTGATGAACGGACGTTTTTCGACGAAGTCTCATACGGACGTATCAGTCTCTCTCGTTTTTTGAATTTAATTAGATAACGTTTTATATTTTTGACTCGTGATGGTTTTTACAAGTGCTATGTTTGCGTCTTGATTATTATATTTCATCGTATATACTTAATAAGGACCACAACCATATGGTCGAAACGTCGTACTAAATAAAGGAAATTTCTGGCTAGTTTGGTCGAATATAATTTTTTCAATAATCCTTTGATTATTTGACTAGCGATTACACCTTTTCTACATTACGAATTATTTTAACGCTATACGTACATCTGCAACAAAATGAACGGTTCGATTCTACAATTTAAGATATAATTAATTTATAAAAATGTAATACATTTATCTGTAATAAATATATTCATAATAAATTTTATTGTGGAATGTATAAAACAGAAGAGGAAATTTACATTAGGCAACACATGTTTTATTGTTAGACTTTTCAGAGAAACATTTACTCATCTATCTATATTAAGAATCATCGTGTATACAATGTGTTCTAAAAATCCAGAAATGGCTAAATATTTCGAGAATAAATCAGATTTTATAGAAACATGTTATTAGATGAAAATTGCAGGATGTATATTGGTGTATTAAACGGTGTTAAAAATTTTATTTTGTGATTGCATTTACATTCGATTTTTTTTATTTAGAAGATGTCATTAAATACAACATGCAATTTTTTGTCTAAAACATTTTTCTATAAAATAATTTATTTTTGAAATATTTAACCATTACTGAGTTTTTTAGACATGCTGTATATAGCGTTACTCTGTTAAATACATTTTACATTTTACGCTTTATCAATAATAATTGCAAATCTTGAATGTCTATTATAACAAATATGCTTTATATAATAATAATATAAAAATATTTATAATTATGTAACTAGAAATTGAAATTATATTATTTAAATATATGTATTATATTTGTAAATCGTTCGTGAAAATTAGGCGTGAAAAACTATACACATCAATCAGCCATGACTACTGTTAATAACGATCCATATTTGAGACATTTATTCGATGGTGAGACGGTGTTTAATGTCTATGACAAAGAAATTACGAACTTGTCCGTAGGGGCACCTGGCCCTGATTTATTAAAACACTGTGTAGAAATGTTAAATCAATGCACACGGCACAGATTGGTAAGCTTAATTTAATACTATACTTGTTAATATCTTTATTAGATAGTTACTATATGTATTATCTCATATGTATAAAAAATATGTATTATCTCAATAATATATAACATAAATTCATAAGAATTTTTTATAATTGATATGATTATATTATTTAGAAACAAACCATTATTATACAATTTAGTCAAAAGTTAGGAATAATTTCTATTTATAATATTGTATTTTTTTAAATAACATTTTTGATTTATTATTTTTGGTTTATTATTTTATTTGCTACAAAAGCTAAATAAATTGAGTGAGTTAAATAAAATGTATTATTAATATCAATAGAGTAAAAAATAAAAATAAAAAATATAAAAATACAAAAAATAGAATTAAAATAAAATTAAACTATTGTAAGATTTAAATAATTAAACTAAGAATTAAATAATCAATTAAAAATAGAATTAAAATAAAATTAAACTAAGATTTAAATAATTAAACTAAGAATTAAATAATCAATAAATAATCATTAAAATTAAGTATAATAATCAAATAAAATAATAAAATTAAGAGAATTTAATTAAAATATATATATCGAATTTTTGAAATTTGATAATAAATTAATTTAAATTTATTCATTCAAACTGTTTAATTTTAACTAAATAATTTCATGAATATTTTAATAAAGCAAACTTATGCAAATGTATAATATAACGCAATTCTTAAATAATTCTTTTCAATTGAAATACATTCGAATGCAATTATCATATTTATTTTTTAAAATTTTATAAAATGTTTGATGCAACTATTCCAAAGTTTCTGAATATGTATATATATTTATTTATTTATAATTCAAGAATATAATGCTTATTAATCTTTTGCAATCATCCATGTTAATGAAATTTATTACTTTAGGAAGAAGAAGCAAAAGAAGGAAAATATTATCTTTTTCAATACGGTGCAACAGCAGGTCATTGGGAATGTCGCAATGAATTAGCCAAATTTTTAAGCACACGATACGGTAACTCCGTAATGAGAGAAAACCTGCTATTGACGTGTGGAGCATCGCATGGTCTTCAACAATTGTTGAATAACATACTTTCACCAAACGGCGTTATCTTCGTAGAGGAAGTTACATACATGCTTGCTTTGGAAGTTTTTAAGCAATTTCCCCTGATAAGGGTAGTTACAGGTAGATATGTAATAAGCTATTAATATTATTAAAACAAGCAATAAAATATAAGTATTTTAAGTTAAAAATATAAATTATAATTCAGAAATATAAATATCTTTTTATTATAAAATATATATATATATATATATATATATATATATATATGTTAATTTTAAAAATAGTATAAAGTAATAAAGTAAAATAGTAATACAAGAAATTGGTAATTATAATTATATAATTATATAATTATATAATTATAAATTGGTAATTATAACTAATTCAACTTTTTAAAGATATTTTGAAATATATTTCTCTCTTTCTAAAAATATGACAAAAATGCTTATTATTGTTATTAATTATATATATATTATTATTATCACATAGTGCCAATGAAGGATGATGTAGTAGATGTGGATGCGCTCGAAAAGATAGTGGCTGAAGAGAAGACGAAAGGCAACTATTTTCTGAATGATCAGAAAATGTTCTGGGCGATGTATTATACGATATCAATTTTTCACAATCCAACTGGAATGACACTGCCGCCTGGTAATTTAAATCGATATCTCACCCAAAATCTCTTCTTTACACTATCAGTTGAAAAATTCGTCACCTTATTTGCTAATAAAAGATTTCGATTACATTTCTCATTTTCCCTCAATCGAAAGGCTTTATTCATATATTGAATTATTCATATATTGAAAATTAAGCTATAATAAAGCTAAAATAATTATATATAAGAGAATTAAATTTTTCCTTCATGAATAATACAGATTACTTTAAATATTTTCAATTTTATTTCTTGGCAGATCAGTGCAAGCGTGTAGTAGAGATCGCACGAAACAATTCCATAGTGGTAGTGTGCGACGATGTGTACAGTTTACTTTATTATGGAGACGGATATCCGCCACGACGCTTATTTTCTTATGACAATCCAGAAGATAAAAATTATAAAGGAGGAAACGTTGTATCAAACTCTTCGTTTTCTAAAGTCTTTGCGCCAGCGATGCGTTTTGGATGGATCGAATCAAGTCCACGTGTTATCAACACTATAAAAACATCGTAAGTCGCACGTATTTTAATCTTTCTTTCATAAAATTCTGTATGAAGATAGATATATAACACGATACCATCTAGTGCCATCAAGTTAATTTTGCGATTTATACATAAAACTATAGTATTAAAGCCAATCATTAAATATTGCGACACTTTACAGATATCGTTCGTCTTGCATTAATATATAAAATTATATAATATATAAATATAATATAAAATTATATAATATATAAATATAATATAATATTATATAACATAATATATATAATATATAAATTTATAATTGACTAATATAATGTAAATTATGCTGGGCTAAAATACACTATTTAATTGTCGATTTTTAATGCTATATTTCTTTATAGAGGCACATTTTGTAGCGGTGGTGGAGTTAATCATTACATCTCCGGATTAATGGCGAGTGTACTTCATGAAAAAGTTGAAGAGAAGTATCTTAATACGATTTTAAAAATCTATAGGGTACGTGATTATATTTTTAAATTTCAGAAACTATATATATATATATATATATATATATATATATATATATATATCATTATAAATATTAGTAATTATATATCACAAGATATAATTTTAGTATAAAAATGGATATTATAAATTCAATTTATAGGAACGATTAGATGTGTTTTGTGCAACTTTGGATCGATTTTTGCCCAAGTGTTGTTCATATCGACGACCAAAAGGTGGTTACTTCGTTTGGCTCCATCTTCCTTCGAGTATGATGAATCTTTTTACTATGAAATTATACTCAAATAATTATACTAAAACACATTTTAATATAATCACATATTGCAGTTTAAAAATTGTCGTACTTGTCAATTATATTATTATAATATTATATATAAGATTAACATATTAATTTATTCTATTTGTCATAAAATTATATGTTTTCTTAAAGATATAGACGGTACTGAATTTGTCAAATGGTGCCAAAAGGAATACAAAGTAACAGCCATACCGGGTGCTCGATTCTCGCATACGGGTGAAGCGAAAAATTTCTTGCGAACAAGCATAGCCTTTCATAACAAAGAAATTTTGGAAACTGCAACACAAACTTTATGCACTGCACTTTCAACGTATATCGAGCGTCAAGATCACAAAAACAATAATGCAAGTACCAGTGATTTAAAATCATGAGCATATCGATCAATTTTTTATCAAATTTAAGATATAATTATCTAATTTAGATATTATTCTTAAAATAAATAATATGCACAAGATTGAAAAGAAATATATATGTAGACAATGACTGAAAAAATATCTATGAAAAAAAAAAAATATTTTATAACAAATTTTTATGAAGAAAACAATCTATGTTTAATATTTTATTATACAAAGAATATATATATAAAGAATGCAGTATTATAAATCTTATGTATTATGTATATTATACATGTTATATCATGTATTATTATCTGAAAGTGATACAATGTATAAACTTTTTAATAATTTTAATTATTTTACATCAGTATTTTAAAAATTAATAATAAACAATGTAATAAAACACTTGCAAGTTTTAAGAAATCTGAATTTTATTCATATATGCTTCACCATTATCCTTAAGCATTCCTTTTTCACTTAAACTATACAATCAAAATATTCATTAAAAGAAGATTGAAAAGACTATACATCATTTTTAAAATTCTCTGAAGAATTCCACAAGCTTAGTTGCAATTTTTACAAAATCATTATTATAAAGATATAATTCATAAAATATTAATGTCTTCAAAATAAATTACATTTTCAATATCAATACAAGTTCTTTTTTAATTATATCATTACAATTCCATCACAGATTATTACATTTCATAATTCCAATATATATGCAAAAAAAACTAGTAAAAAAATAATATATTATGAAAATTGAAGTATGTGTGTATATTTTTTCTTCTTTTATTAAATTATTAAATGTTTTATGAAGCAATTAACAATATAATTCATTTCTAAAAGTACAAATAATTAAATGCACGAGAAGTTTAGTCAAAATCACCTAACAATTCTTTCTGTTTCGTCTCCAGCAATTGTTCAGCTTTACTTACATATTGATTACTGAGAATATCTATATAATTTTCCATCCTAAATATTATGTCTTTGGCTAATCCTTCTTTATTCTTTACCGTCTTAATTTGCTTATTGCGTATGTCTCTAATATTGCTGCAACATTTTGTATAAAAGCTTTTTGCATTTTTAGATAAGCTTTCTCTGTGCTCTTTGGTCACTCTGTTAATGTAAAAATATGTATAAGTGTTCTTGTTCCAACATAAGAATCAGGATAATTGTATATATATATGCAGCTATATTAAATATAATAAATTCTTTACACATGATTACATTTTATAGAATTTTATAATTACTCAAGCTATTTTATAATTAATCTTATGATATATTAAATATCAATTTATCTCTTGTATATAATGTAAGTTAGAATAAATGCAGAAAATCACAATAATTCTAAAGATTAAAAATGTTTTCAATAAAATATTCTAAATTATAAAACTAATATTCTAAAACTTACTTAGGAATAGGAACATAGACTGTAGTCCCATCTTGTTGTGGATTTAGATTCATCTGATTTTTTGTGAGGCTCTTCAAAATATCTGGAATAGCTTGTGGAAAGGTAGATATATTGAGTACTATTAGTTTGGGCTTACGACTAATCTGCGCGAGCTCCTGCAACGTGTAATCCTTTCCCTCAAATTTAACGGATAATTCCTCAATAGCACCCACAGTCGATCTTATTGATAAATACTTGGCGAAATCATCCTTCATGATTTCAATCGCCCTTTCCAATTGAGACGTCAGCTTGTTGACATCAATAACTTCTTCCATTTCATGATAATCAATATGTTGTGATTTTGACTTCTTTTTATCCTTGCCACGGTCCTTGCTTTTTGCCAATATACAGGTCATAGAAAAGTCCCTTGAATTATTATTGAGACAATTGGCAAGTGAAAAATTTAAAATGTCACAATGTTGAACGATCCGTAGAAATCTTTGCTGGCTCTTAAGATGGTACATTTCTCTATTTAATAAACAGTGATGTATGCAGCTTGTTATTGGTCTTAATGTTAACACCATTGCATAATTCCTTAATTGAATATTACAGAATCGTATGCCTATTAAGCTTCCCATTTTCTTCTTTTTTTACCATCAATGTTCAATGTAATAATATACAAAAAATTATGATATTATAATATTGACATATGTTCAATATTATTTATTTATTTGAATATTTATTTGATATTCCTCCTGCTAGTCGTGTTTAAACGATATAAATAAATTAATTGTATACGATTTTCGTTCAAAATCCTTCAAAATCGCAGGTTATCTAACCTCTCTTGCAACCTTAAAAAAATACATACAATTTCATTAGAAATAATGTGGAGATCAAATAAGATGTAACTCGCAATTCACCTATATTTTAGTTTTTAATTTTAATCGCGAGTAAAATAATACATGTATTTATAGACTTTTGAATTCCAAATTTAAAACGCAACCCAATACATTGAATTACGACCCTCGCGATTGGTATATTTTACCGGAAGTACGTATCTAGAGTGCGTTTTCGTTTCCTTTATTCTTGGAGCCATTTTTAAACATCGAAAGAGATATGTTTCTTCATTATTGATTGTGAGTGAAAACGATATTTCTCTATAGAATGAAAAAGACATATCCCCATCAGCGCGAGAAAAAAAAGACTTTATTATTGTTGTGAAATTTTATGCTCACAATTTTTTATCCTTCAAATTAAGTGTGATAATTTATTACAAAAGGTTAATTAAAATTATTGATTATTATTAATTATTGATTATTATTGATTATTATTATTATTGATTATTATTATTATTGATTATTTTATTTGTATTTATTTTTTTATTTTTCTTCTTCTTCTTATTATTTTTCTTATTATTATTTTATTTGTTTTTATTTTTTTATTTTTCTTCTTCTTCTTTTTCTTATTATTATTATTTTATTTGTATTTATTTTTTTTATTTTTCTTGCTTGTTTCATTTATATTTAAAAAAAATTGTTTTGATGATGAAGTAACCGCTGCTTCCAAATATAAAAAGCTTGCGCAGATCCCATGTTTTGAAATTCCATTGTCACCTCCAATGACATTTCCGCGCATTCGGAATGCGCTCAATACGAGAAACTGGATCCCGTATCTAATTAAAATTTAATTATATAATTGCAATAATCCTTGCACTATTCCTTTATCATTATTCATTAAACAATCGTTCTCTCTTTCACATTTCTTCTTTATTTATTATGTAAAAAAAGGGCAGTAGAAATCTCATCGTATCTAATTGTCAATTTATTTTCTCACGTGTGTATGAATAGATTCTTATTCGAGTACATATCTCGGTTTTATAATAAATCATAATAAACGATAAACGGTAAATATTGGTGTAAATATTATATAATAATCACATTTCGTGTCAATTGTACTTGATAAAAAAAAAAATAATAATAAAAATAATAATAAAATAATAATAAAAGAATAATAAAAGAATAATAATAAATAATAATAAAATAATAATAATAAATAATAATAAAATAATAATAAATAATAAATAAAAATAAATAAATAATATATAAAATAATAATAAAGGATATCACGTGACATTGATGTATATGCGTATTAGATGTCACGTGCTACATTTTTTGCAGTAATGCGGCTTATCGGGAATCCTTTCGGTGCCCTAATTAGTGCCTAGTGTGTTTATAAGTATATACGGCTCTGTCTATTCCGCCAGGTCTTACGAGTTCTTACGAGTTCTTATGTCAGTTGACGACGCTATTCTTTAGAGACTTTATTTTTATATTCGCGCGATAAAATCTAACAAACAGAAGTCATTTTGCGTCAACTGTTATCGGTTATGTAAGGTTATGATATCGACTCGAGCCTTTCTGAGAGGCCAGGTAAGTTCGCAGCATAATTCAAAGTCATCGTGAAACGTCAAATGTGCAATATTTAAAAAAAAAAACGAAAAAACAAAACAAAAGTGAGATTAAAAATTTCATCTCGACTGCAACCTACTCTTTCTTTGTTGCAAGATACACTCAAAGTGGATTCTTATAACCTCTACTTTCGAGAGGGATTCATCTATAAATTTATACTCTTTTGCTTTCTTTCCTCTCAAGAATATCCCTGAATTTAATTATTTCACATTTTATTATTTTTCGGATTTTATTTTAAGCTTGATCAATTTTAAAACGCATTCCAGATCGTTTACCTGCGTAAAATTATATGAAAAATTAATCCTGCAGTGTATTCTTATTTTACTCATGTTTAGAGAGATAATGAATTTAAGATTCGATCCGTTTTCGATTATGTTTAATTACATGCTTGCAAAAAATATATACCGGTTAATATAAACAAATATAAACTGCTACTGTAAACGTGATATCTGCAAAGATCAAAGCAATTCATGTCTCTAATATATTTACTTTATATTTACAAAGAAAGAAAAAAGGAATATGTGATATAAAAAACAATTATATACAAGGTCAAATTAAAATTGTATTCTATTTATATATATTTAAGCTATAAACATAATGGATAATTAAAGAGATGATAATGCTTTACTTTCAGACCTTATGAGACGCAACATATGGAATATTATTATTTATATTTGTTTAAATTTATTATTCTTTATATTTATATTTCTTTAAATAAATAGAGATAAATATATTTATGTGAATATCTCGTTTCTTTGCAGATGATTTTTCAAAATTATTATATATAATTTGTTGTATTTTCGAACTTTTTAAAATAAAATGAATATACATTTATTTATAAACTATAGAAAAAAAATATATAATGTGTAAAACAATTTGAAAGCTTACAGGTTTTTATTATTACAAGTCGCTAATTACAACTAAATTACAACTGTGTGATTTCAGAGTTATTTCTCATCTGAATGAAGATTTAAAAATTGCAGAACTATTACTTAAGATATAGTGGAAATTGTTCAAAGAAATCAGACTTCGCTTGAATTAATTATGAGTAAAACACCAGTTTCCATTCTCCAAGAGATGATGGTGAAACAGGGTATGGTACCCGATTACGAGTTGATACACAACGGTGGAGGTCGTCATGTGAATACATTTACATATCGAGTTATATGCGATGGTCTCACTGCGATTGGTTCAGGTCGTTGTAAAAAGGAAGCTAAACATGAGGCTGCTAAAGCTATGTTAACGGAGATTATTAAACATAGAAACTACCCACAATTGCCAGCTGCTAGTACACCAGCAGTATCTCCTGCTAGATCACCATTCCATTCTGCTCCTCTTCCACCAAAAATACCAGCAAATGTACCTTTTGTTAATGCCATAGGTGAATTACAGGTGATTGTTTTTCTTTCTCACAGTTGCATAACTAATATTATATAATCGTGTATCACTATTAGATTACTTATCATCATATTCTTTCAGGATCTGTGCGCTGAAAATAATTTAATGGAACCAGAATATGTTCTTACCAAAGATACTGGACCACCACATGCTAGAATCTTCACTATTCAGTGTAAAGTGTCAAATTTTGTAGAAGAAGGAGTGCAATCCACAAAGAAGCAAGCAAAACATGAAGCTGCGAGAAAAATGGTAGAAAGAATAAAAGGCCTCGTAAGTCAGATGAATAGTACAGAGGATAAAGAAGAATCTTTGAACGCATCCTTAGTAACTGATGAAATGGAAATAATGAATAGAAACGCAAAAGAATACTACCAAGCATTAAACAAATCGACAAGAAGGATTAATTTAGGTATTAAATTAGCTGAATATCACACTAAATGGAGAGATTCTTTGGAAGAGGATAAACGCAATAAAATATTAGAAGAATTGCATTGCATAAATTTCGAAACTTGCGATGATACAGATGAATTAAATGAACTAATAAAAGAAACGTTATCTAGATTAGAAACCATACTGTTAGAGGTTAATGTAACAGTTAATACAAAAGATATACTTGCGGATAATAATTATTTTATGAAAACAATAGAGCTCAATACTTGTCCCCTCCTCACACAGATTGGTATGGGAAAAACTAAGCAGGAGGCTTTGCGGAATGCCTTATTCCAGATAATAAATTCTCTAAAGCTGCTTCTGTCATAAAATATGTGATTGAAATAGTTATATAATAAATGCAAAATCAAATTTTACAATATAATAATGATTTTAATTAAAGTATTTTAATAAAAGTTTATTTTTGATCTTACATTTTTTCAAAGAAAGATTTAAATCTATTTGTGTTGAATTTGTAATTAATGTTTCTCTCCTATGTATAAAATATGTTTATTTCATTATTATCTGCGTGCTTAAAATGTGCAAAAACAAATTATGTCCTATTATATCATATTATAAAGAAAAAAATTTTTTTTTTCGACAAATTTACAATTCTATAATTTTTATTTATAAAATCTAATTATAGGATTCCATTTTTTGATATTAATGTATTAATTGATGCTTAGTGTAAGTGATATGTGTGATATAAAATTAATTATTACATTTATTGAAAGGAAAAAAAAATTTATTTTATAGTTTAATTTGTTTATACATGTAAACATTATAATAGAAACAAATTGATGGAAACGCTGCAATATATTGTGTCACACTTTTATTTTATTTTAAACAATATATTTTTATATGTTTCGTATTACAAGAAATCATTGAAAAGAAAAGGAAATAATGAAAGATTTGTATTCTGCATATAAAATAAATATAAAATAAAAATAAAATAAACACTTTAAACACAATATACACCAATTCACACATAAATTTTTGTTCCGCTCTAACAATAAGAATACACAAAGATATAAGCATAATTTAATCTTATTGTAGAGAAGTGTACTATGGATATAATTTTTAAATTTAAATTATTTAAATATTAAAAAATTTATATACATTATAATTTATATAATTTTCATACGTTATAATTTATATAATTTTATACATTATAATTTATATGATTTTATATAATTATTCTTCATATTATATTTAATTTTTTATTTAATATCACATAACAGAGCTACACCACGAAGTGTCCAGTGTCGAGGATTGTAATCTGTCTCGAAATCAATAGAACCTACATATTTTGCATCTGTTCTTTGGGGTTTTCTATAAATAGGGCATTCGTATAATTTCGGATCTTTACCGGCGGTGGTGTTTATTGCGAAAATGTAAATAACTGGCATTTGTTCATACAGTACTTTTGGTTTACTTTCAACGAGTTTACCGGCTTTTCGATCGAGCGATGCGCCTTCTAAAAACAAGCCATGGACGTAAACTCCTTCTTGTGGCTGGCTTTTAATGTCCTCTTTATTATAGCGCGTAATCACGTTTTGCAAAACTACCGAGTCCAAGGCCCAACCCTTGTGCGCTCTTGTTACTTCCTATTAAATTTATTTTAAAATTAATCGAAAAATTATAAAATATTGAAAGATGCAGATGATTATAATAATGAAGATATACTATTCTCATAAATCTTTTATGATTTAGTGGGTTATTACAAATGCAATGAATTTTATAGCATGAAAATAATAGTTCCATTTATTGAAAAATACTTGTATATTAATAGTTATATAAAAAAATATTAAAAATTATATTGTGAAAGTAATAGTCATGAAATTTTATATGATTGTAATATATATTCTCATATAATATATAATATATTAATATATTTATTAATACATTTATATTACTCATTATTCTTTTATAATTTTACACTAACTTTTTCTTGCAAATTTGTAGAATTATTTAAATGTTAAAAAAATATTTTTTCATTAGATATTTATGTGGATATCTTTTTATTAGATGTATGTATGATGTATATATATGAGCCAATATAATATTTTTTTATCAACATGTTATTTTGATTTTCACCTGTCTCATCGCCGTTAAAAATCCCTGTGGATTAAAAAATCCAGTCATCCAAAAGACTCTCGGACGGCCATGATTGCACCATTGTCTAAACTGATGATCTCTTTCTAAAAGTTCTGTATACCAGAAACCCAAAGTCGCAGATTCCCAAGATATTTTCAACCATTTGTCCGGAATGCGCGCGTCATACATTGAGTCCAATGATTTTCGTAAGCCTTGGCTCATCACTATAGTACCCTCGATAGCCAATTTTAAATCCGTTAAAGTGTTTCGTACTTCTTTGATGACTCTCGAAATTCTGAAAAAGTTATCTTAATTAAAAAAAGAAAGCGATGACTCTTAAAATTCTTTTCTATTCGAATTGTTTTTATTTTTAATATTTTCAAATATGTAAAGATAGGCTAATAAGAATCAAATGTTATGTACATATGTATCTTTCTTTGTTTCTTTTTTCTATTTTAATTTTTATCATGTTCACACTTTTTTCGATTTTTAATTATTATATAAGATAATTTTTTATAAATTTGCAATTTTTATATATAATTCATTGAAGATGGCCTGAATTAGAACCAAAATGTTTAGAGAAATATATATACTTATTAATTAATAAGAAATTCATTTATTTGTCGATCACCTCATATTTAGCTCTTATTAACTTATCTCTATTTGATATTTTGATATCTGCAGTCTTATGGTTTTTTTTTATATTTTCTTTGTATTTAACATATTAAAAATTTAACATATTACAAAAAATTACAAAATTTAATATATTAAAAAAATAACTAAATAATAATATTATCTATTTTAAAGAATAAAAGAGGAGGAAAAAGAGGATAAACATTTACCGATCTACTTCTTGTCTTAAAAAAATATTCATAGGCATTAATGGCCCCATTCTTTGAAGCGCTTCCTTTACTTCGAAGGAGTTATATTGCTTCGGTAATTTGGATAACATATCATCGGCTAATTTGTACACGATAGTTTCTCTAGTCTCACCCCCTTGTGCGCCACCCTCTTTTGGCTGTACGCTAAGAATCGTATCGAGTATTCCTTTCGCCGTATTAATCTGATAGGTAATATCAGCATTGGAGTGTAATCCAAAGACTTCCGGTGTGTCGGTGGCGGGTAAACTATCGATATAATCGAGATATCCTTGGAGATTTCTCGTTTGGGGCACTCTGTATCCTCGATAAAATTCAAACCCTGGTCGTAGCAATACATCGCAAAACCAGACATGCGTAAAAGTAGTTAATAAACGTTTGTCAAAATCGTCCGTGACTCTACCGCCGTATTGGACCTATGTATGAAAAATATAGATAAAGTATGTTTGAGTAGTATGTTTGAAAAATATAGAAAATATAATGTAAAGCTTAAAGCTTGTTTATTTATTTAAAATGAATAAAGATAGCAAATAAAGATTGTGGAACCTCTCCAAGCATATAGCAGACTGTCGGCCAGGAAACGCCCTTTTTAGGATCCATATCGTCCAAATGATTCTGTATGAATTGAACTGATGCTGCAAAATCTGCCTGATTAAATTCATAAGGTATGTTCCAACCGAGTGGTCCAAACTTTCTCCTCTCTTGCACTACAGTGTGTAAAAATGCAACGGCGTACAATAAGGGTGGCCATTGCGATTGAGTACTGTAATCCAACGAGTCCTGTGTCACCGCTTGATAAGTTCTCTTCAAACTGGCTCTTATGCCTTGAGGTGGTTCATTCGTAAATTTGATTGCCATCTAAAATATATGACATTCTGTATTTCTTCAAATTTTCTCTTTTTCAATAAGAAGTTAAAGTAGGGTGTCTACTCTTTGGAAAAACATAGTTTGAAATTTTCAGAGATTTCTTTTATATTTGGAAAATCAGAAAATTCTCATGGAATTTTATTGGGATTCAGAGAATTTAAAAAAAATTGTCTCTTATATTGTAAGTAGCCAGTTATTACAGTTATTATTTTATTAATACAGTTATACAATTATTATTTTATTAATTCAATAACATTATTAATCAAATCAATACACCATGTATGATTTGATTAATGTTATTGAATTAATAAAATAAATTCCAATTACTTGATCCAATTAATTGATGTTGTTAATTCAATATTACTTTTTTTCAGTGTAATAATTATATATATTATATGTTAATATATATATATATATATATTATTTTAGAAAGCTCACCACAAAAAAATCTTTAAAATATTTTCTTTATCTGAAATTTTGACGAAAAAAAATATCTTGAAGATCAGGGAATTTTTTTAGAGAATCTTTTTTTTAAGATTTGAAAATTAGACACCCTCATTCTCCCATTTTATGTAAGAAGTACAACCTGTAGTAAACCGATGGGAAATTGAGAATGTACTTCAGTTGTCATCCAGAGCCTGAATACGTCGTGAACAGTCTCTGTTTCAACAAGCGCATCCATTACTTCTGTACAAAAGGGCAATGATAAATGGATATTTTGTAAAAGGACCCAGCCGCCAGCGTTCATGGCTTCATTAATCATTCTTCGAGCATGAAATTCTTGACCTTGCCCCATCGATACCGAATTTAATGCTAAAAATATATTGAAAATAATAAAAATAACAATGCCAATATTAAAGATACATTTAATGTTTATTTAATAATTAATTTATTTTTTTTTCAACTATTGAGAAAGAGAGCAATTAATTAAATTATAAACTTACAAATTGCCCTCTGCTTAGCTAATATTGTAATTTGAGGACTCGGGTCAGATCCTATAGATAATAAGCATATGAGTGGCGTTCTGGGTTCAGATTCTAACCACGTCTCTTCCAAGTCCAATATTTTAGCCTCGCCGTATTCTTTACCCAACGATTCAACGATGTATTTTCTCGCTTGGGATAAAGTTCTGTCGGGACTCCAAGATCTGATGAGGAGTAATTTTCGAAACACATCGAGACTTTTTTGATAGCCGCAAGGCAATTCTTCCTCCTCCGGCTTCTCCTTTTCATACCATATTCTCCACTCCTTTTCGCCAAATTCAATTTTAGTTAAAATATCCGAAAATACCTCGAGTTTACTTATTTCGACTAAATTCAGCCAAGTTATATCAAGGATCCATTTAAACGGCTTCGGCGTGACTGCATTAAGATCTAAGGACGCCCCGCCTTTTATAAAAGCGTTAAATTCTGCGTGAGAAATAATGCTCCTATGGCAATCTATCTTCATGGCTAGCATCAGCGTAAACAAAGATTTGTGTCTCTCGTAAAGACTTCGCAAAGTGAACGCCCAAACTTCGTACGTAAGATGACGGAGAATTA